TTTATTGGGGGGGGGGGGAATGTGTAAAAAAACCCCTCTCCTACTGATCTGCAGTGATGTATTTTATGTTGGTGGGTTTTTTTCCTTTCACATACTCCCAGACACCCCACGCCTCAGAAGAATTGCTCTTTTGGGTTGATGCCAGCCTAATAACACAGATCAGTTGAGCTTGGCTTTACTCCTGCAGGAACCCAAAGAGAGGAGAGGAGAACCAGAGGAGAAGGAAACTGGAGGATCTGCAGCAAGAAGTGGCCATGGGGACAAGAATCAGACCCCGTCCTGTCAGTCCAGCCTGGGATGGGGTGGTCACCCAGGCTCGGGCTGCAGCAGAGGTCGGGCAGCAGTCAGAGGTCACCTGGACCTGGAGATGCCACCAAGGAAGTCACGCAGGAGAAACCATGCTTGGGTGCAACATCCCAAGGAGGAGCGTCTCCAGAGGCTGGTCCTACCCTGCAAAGTTTGGGTAAAGCTCCCAGTAGACAGGAACAAGTGAAGCCTTTCCAGTGCTGTGCAAGGGAATCCTTCCCAGCTTCCTTCAGTTGCTTTATTGGGATTGCAGTCACGGTGCTGTGGGTCTGTTCACCATCGGGCTTTGAGGATCTGCTGCTCTTTGGATGAGCTGACCACAGCACCAGGGAGAGCAGGGGCTTCATAAAGAAATGCAAAGCAGAGAGGCAGTGAGACACGGCGAGGAGAGTTTCATGCCTGCCCTGAACAATCTCTGACAGCCCAGGAGGAATTTGGATGATTTCAGTTTGGTTTTAGCATTATTCCTATTCCATTTAGCTAAACAAATAGAGGCTGGGTTTAAACTAATTTAATTGTGTGCACGCAGCCAACTTGCACAGCCTAAAGCAAATCATAATTTTTATTGAACTGGTGTGATTTGAGTTTAGAGGAAGAGTTTGCTCTAAGATGAATTTTCAGAGGATTTCCTACCCTTTCCAAAAGGACCAGTGACTAACTGCTTCATGTTGGTAAATGAGAGGAAGCCCCAAAAAAAAAAAAGAAAAAAGAACAAAGGCCAGTTTTCAAGGAGATGCCTGGATTTACAGTAAAGTTGCATTTCTCCTGGGCTGGCTTTAAAGCCATTTCCCTAGGAGACGTGCTGGATCTGTCTGCATTTGGGATTTAAAGGTTCAAAAGCCAAGAGCAGAGAGTTATTAAAATGGCAATAATGTGAAAATAGGTGTTACATAGCTGATGTAGATCCTCCCACCCACCCCTCCATGCCTTCTTTCCCCCCTCCCATTACAGCAGTGGGGGAGCAGAGCCCACGGGCAGTGTACCCTGTTGGGGTGGTGTGGGAGGGCAGAGACCCACCAGCAGTGGGTGACACCTTCACAGCTTCTCCCATCTGGAGGCTGCTGAAATGATCCAGTGGAGCATTTCATTGGGTTAGAAAACCAAACCTAATCCAGATAGATTAGGATACCCACCCCAGCACTCCGTCACCTGCCCAGTTTCCTACCCCTGCTCCAAACGGCGGGGATGCCAGCCCTGCTTACAGCACCAGGAGGGAACAGAAGGACGTGCCTTTGCCTTCTTCCACTTGCAGGAGTGACCAAATATCTACATTTGTGGCAACTCCCCTGCTCCCCCTGTTACAGCCACCCTGAGGAAGCACTTTGGCAGGAAAGCTTTCAGCCTCAAGGGCTGGGGCTTGGCAGGGATGCAAGCGGCTGCTCTGTGGTCCTGGGGTGCAAACCAGCTGCCCCGCGGAGCCACCGCGGAGCTGCCGGTGCGGGCTCTGATAATCTGGTGGGAGCTTGATTCCTTGCCACGTTGTTACTCACGTTTGTTTACTGCAGGAAATTCATCTTTCTGGCTCATGCTGGGGATTAATTAATGGTTATGGCTTCTGTGACCCTGTGATTAACTCATTTTCACATAATTGCTTGAAGACAAAACGATGTATTAGTAGCTTTTCTCCCTCCCATCCCTGCCTGCCATGGCATCCAGAGGGACCCAGCAGTCAGTAAGAACTTGGTTTTTCCTTCCTATTTTTTTTGCCTTCCCCTACTTTTTTGTACACCCCTTATTGATCCAGAATAAGAAAGCTGGTGAGAACTGGGGTTGAGAACATGTTCCAGCAGAAGTCCAGCTGGCCTTTGGTTGTGCACAGAGCCATTCACCATGAATGACCTCCAAGGCAAATGTCGATCAAGTTTGTAAGGTTTGCTGAACAAAGAAAAGGGCTTGGCTTTGCCTTAAGACTGCTGCAACCTGGCGCAAGGCTGGGGTGACACCTTTGCAGCCTCCTGATGAAAGGGAGCATGGTTGCCCACCACGGTTTGGTGGCCTGCAAGACAGGTCACCTTGAGAAGGGCAAGGACGAGCCTTCCTCTTTCATCACCAGTCAGCACCTTGGGTGTCGGGGCTGCGAAGTCTGGGTGTGTGAGAGGTGGTGAGACAGAGACCTAGTGTGGGGGCAGGATCCATCTCCCTAGTGTGGGTCCTGCTCTTGGTAAGAGGTCGGAGTCACAGGTGAGGTGAGCGTGTCCAAATCCTCCCTCTGGGATCTTTTCCAGCATGTCCTGCCTAGAAACTGATCTGCATTGAAATGGGAACAGAAACACTGGCCTGTGCATGGAGGAGTGGGGTCACCCCTTCTTGTATATCTACCAAGAAAAATAACCACCTCTGAGATCACTCAGGCATGCTTGTGCCAGAGCCCTTAGCAAGCAGGAAAACCTCCTCTCTGGGACAGAGCAGTGCCAGGGGATTTAGTGCAGGACCTACAGAAAGCCCATCGTCCCTCATAGGCCCCAGAGGAGAGGGAGTGCCATGGTCCTCATGCCTACCACGGGGCACAAAGCCCAGCTTTGGGTACCTTCACTTCCTGAGGACCAGGGATGACCAGGACAGAGAACTACGGGGGGAGCCTAAAGATCTACCACGAGGTGACCTGCTTCACCCATTCCTCCGCCAAACCCATGGGGGCAGTCCCATCCCACCGCCAGGTCAGAGATTGCTTTTCACCATCGAAAGAGAAGCTGAAACTCAGTCTTTGCCTAATCCAGACTCCCGCGGGAGCAGCCGCCTCACCTCCCACTGCTCCCTCCCTTCCTGAAACCCATTTCAATCTGAGATTATCGAGTTAAAACACTCAGCTGACAGAAATAATAAGCACTCAGCAGGCAGCCAGCAGCTCTGCTGGGCTTCCCTCTTCCCACGCCCTTAATCTATTTTTCAGAGAGTCTTCAAGCAATTTAAGCCGGCCTTTCAAAGCTGAGGAGCTTTAAACTTGGACATCAAGAGTTGTCCCTGCTTGTCCTCAGCTCACAGCTCTGCTCCATCCCTGGTTGCCAGCAGAAGAGGGGTCAGGGCAGGAGGGAAGAGCTGTGAATTCTTGCGTGGGGAGATGGGATGGTTGGAGAGAGAGAAGTAGGGGGGAGGCCACGAGAGATGCCAGTGCTGGCAAGGTAGATGTGGAAAAATGTGAGTGTGGGGATTACTGTGCTAAATCCAGGTTCCCTGCACGGAAAGTAGGTAGACTGCAGAAAAGGACTGTGATGGGAAACATTGCCTTGGGGTCTGCCTCCAAGCAGGAAAATCAGGTTGCATGAGACAGAGAGACTCATCTCCTTCCTCTGATGGAAGGGAGGAGCACTGGAAAGGTGGCTTCCCTCCGCACACTGCCCATCCTGTGCGGGCCTAGCAGGAATCAGAATAAAGTTTAAATCGAGCAATTATTTCCTTCATTTCTTTCAAGCTTCAAATGTCTCAAATTGCCAGATGGTTTTTGGGTTCTGGTTTTGGTTTGCTTTTTTTCCCCTCTTTTTTTTCTTTTTCATCTTATTCTTCCTATCCCTCTTTATTGGTTCTAATTGTGTCATTAGTAATTAATGACTTTGGAGGGAGACATTTTCTTTTTAATTAAAGGAAGAAAAGAGGAAAGCTGTAGTGACACACAGACATCATTCCACATCTCTGCATGGACAGGATTTTCCTGAAGCAGTTTATCTCTAGACTTCCAGCAACTGGGGAAGGGGCTGGGACCAGCCTGGGGACATTTTGATGCTGGTGTACCCCAGTTCAGAGAGCTCATCCTCCCACCTCCTCATCCATGGCAAGGAGTTCTTCTGTCCCTTGGTCGAAGGGAGCCAGGGAGTACATTTTAACTCCAGGAGAGACACACTCTGATTGTGAATTCACGTGGAGAAGGCAGCCTGGATGGTGCAAAACCTGCTCTAGATGTGGCCCTTCTGCCATGGAGAAGATCTCAGGCTTACCTGGTCCCCTCCAAACATCTGGAGAGCTTTGTAGAAGCTCATCCCACCGCTGCCCTGGACACTGAGGAGATAGCACAGCCACTACTTGGACTCCAGCAAAGCTACGCTCTCCCCACTGCTGGCTCCCCAGCCACGCTGGAGACATGCCAGTCTTGGGGACCCTCAAAGCATCTCTTGCCGACGCATCACCACCAGGATCTGCTCTGCGGCTGCAGTGAGGACCCTCTCCCTGCCTCCGCACTCAGCTCCTGTGAGCTGCCCCGCTCCGGGGAAGCAGCATGGGAAAACCACACGTCCTATCTCATCTGGCAAATGGGTAATTATTCCTCCTGCCCGATGCTTGCTGCTCCATCCAAGTCGATGCAGTGCTCCATTTGTCATTGTTTGCGAGAGCAGGAAGGGACGCCACCGCGCTGAATGGGAATTGATTGCTTGGATGCCGGCCGGGCTGGGCAGGCAGCCTGGGCTCTGGGTGATTGCAAATTATTCCTTTAGCAGCTGTAGGCGGGAGAGTCGCACGCCGGGATCCCTCCAGTGACTCCTCAGCTACTGGGAGAACTGGTCTGCTCCCAGAGAGGAGGAGGAGCATCAACAGGATGTGACACAGGTCTTGGGAGAGGAGGGCAGCCACACACCTCCACTGTGGATTTGCTGATGCTCCTCAAATTCCTTCCAGCAGTCAGTAAAAGAGGTGAAGTGGATTTTTGAGGAGCCTGGGGGAAGCAAAGTGACTGGGAAAGAGGAAAAAGGAATGAAACCCCATGTCTGCAGATACAGTTCTGTAAAGGATACAGCGGAACACAGTGGGAAAGGAGGGATAATTGCCCCTGAATTAGGAGCCGATGTTCAGGCAACAGCTCTTGGGGCTCCTGCAAACAGCTGGGACCAGACACCTGCCCAACAGTCAGGGGAATTAAGGGGAAAAAAAAAACCCACCTCAAAACCTAGCACAAATGTCAAGGCAATACAAAGGAATGAGCAGCAAATAGCACAGGACATTTTCAAATGCCATTATCTGAGATTCCCAGCCCTGCTCAGGTGATGGGCTTGGCCCTGGCAGCCTCCTTGGAAAGCTCCGCAGAAAGGAAATGAGGGTGAAGAAAAATGGTCGCAGTTAACAGAGGAACAGAGAGTGTGTTTTGGTGGGGAGTGAAAGTCAGAGATGATCTTGATGCCCAGCGGGGAGCCCAGAGTCAGTGTGAGCCACAGGCTTTGTGCTGTGCAAGCCCAGAGGCGCCCGGGGGAGGCTCAGAGGGGAGCAGGGCCGAGCGCTCGCCTTTCCCACTGGTTACAGACTAAAAGGAGGGATGTTAGTGAGATAATTTGCCGTGGTTGGCGGGTGGAGGCAGGATGAGGAGCTTGGCTGTCCCCAGCAATGAGGGAACAGGTTCACAGTTGCAGCAGGGAGGAGGAGAGGAGGTGGGAGGGCATTCTGTGGTCCTGCACCCTGGGCAGAGCTGAGCCTGGCTGGGGTGGGGACGCGTGCCTGATCCTGCAGGCTGTTACTGCAGCAAATGCAGTATGAGAAGTGAGGTTTTGCTATTTAAATGTACTGTCCTCTGCAGTGGACTTCTCACCCTGGGAGCAGGTGTGCCTTGCCCTGCGGGGCTGACTTACGCTAGGGAAGAAAATATGGGATCTTGAGGGATCCCAGCTCTTCCTGAGCTCTGGCAATTTTCTTGACTGGCCCACACTCAACACTGGGATGGGGCATCCTGCCGAGGTCTCCCTCCTTCCCTTCAGTCAGAGTTCAACAGAGCAACAACACGGAAACGATAAGAAATTTGAGACATGATTCGAGGCAAGCCAGGAGGATAAATATCCACCCAACGCTACGGGAAGAGATGATGAACAGGATCTCATGGGACACGGAGCCCAGCCCCAGCCATTCCGTGTGCCCTCGTGCAGGGTGACTGGTCCCAGGGGATGGGTGACTGACCCCTCCAGTCACACCATGCAGGTGACAGGTGCTGTCCCTTCTCCTGCACTGCGGCACCTCACGCTCAAGGCAAATCAATCTCCACCCATTCAAGGAAGCCACATCCTGCCCCTGCTCCTCCCTTTCACTCCCCTCTTCCCTTTTTGCCCCATCTTTATTTTTGAAACTCTCAGGGAACCTCACATTAACTGCAGCTTGGAGAAAGTAATCAAGCTATTTCTAGGCAGAGAACTAATTTAATGCATGGATGACTTTAGCTCAAAAGAAGACATAAGGACACTCAGGCATCCTAAGGGAGCAGAATAATAGGGTAATTTGCACAAGATGAGGAGAAAGGGGAAAGAAAGGGCCACTACTACTTTTGCATAATCTTCTTTATAAATCTTCTTTACCCTGTTTGCTGGTCACCACCACCGAATCTCCTGACATCGAATGTCCACGCATGCTGGCACTTCAAAAGGGGCAAGAATTGGGTTCAGCTCAGCACAATTTCTGCTGTGCTGCTCACAAGGGCAGGAGTGGGATAAGGGATAAGGTTTTGTGGCTCTTTGGGGTGCAAGGAAGGCTTAAAATGCCCTCAGCCTGTGCCAGAGGCAGGGAGGCAGTGAAATTTCTAGTGCCCAAGAGAAATTCCACTATTTCCAAATGCCTAAAGGGAGGAAAGGGAAGGGATGGTGGGAAAGGTGGGGAGACACCGCTCATAGCGTTTCCTTCTGGCAGCGAGACTAATATTTAGAGCTGTCTGATTATATGGAATAAAAGAAATGTCAGCATGAAAATCATCTGGAAGTGAAAAATTGAAGCTTTCCTTTCCAAATGTGAGGAAAAGAGGATGTTTTCACTTTACCAAAACGCTCTATGACAGATTGTTTTCTTCCCTTTGCCCTCCCAACCAACTTTTGATTGAAAGCAACACATTCTTGCAGGAAGTTTCCGTTTTCAGAAAACCTCCTTTCCTGTCAATAAAACTCTTTCTGCTGAGGATTTCCACACAGTGTGCGAATCCATGGGGACGGTCAAGTGCTGGGAATAACAAAGTCAGCATGGCAGAGGCATACGCAGTCACAAGCCCATGTCCCTGGGCTGGCCCACAGGCTGGGAAGGGATGGGGCCATCCACTACTGCTGGCACTGGAGAGCCCAGTACAGCATCTGGCAGCAGCTGGAGCAGCCTCGGGATGCAGAGCTGAAAGGGATGATCTCCCGGCTGCAGGAAGTTATGCACCTCCAGATTGGACATGGCAAGTTCTGCCATGAAAACAGACGATTTTTCTCGCTTTTGTCCTGGATCAGCTGAGCAGGTTCCCTCCCTGCAGCATTTTGGTGGGGGTGAGGGAATGGCAGAGCAGCTGCCATAACTGTGCAGGATCAGCTGCAGAGAGGAGGAGCCCAGGCACCCCCTCATCTTCTGCCCCCAGCCCCAGGGAAGCAGGATCCAGGCACAGACTCACTGTAGCCGCCTTCCTGCATCCCTGCCCAGATCCAGCCATATTGCACTGACAGGGGAAAAAAATATAAGTAGGTCAGAGCCCCATTTGTTGGTTATTTTGCACCAGGTGGAGTGACTGGAACCGGCAGCTTAATGGATGGATCTCACTTGTGAAATTACCCTGCACAAAAACATGTGTGCCTGCAGGGCACAGAGGTTTGGTCACACCAGGAGGAGAGGAGATTTGATCCTGTCATCAGTGAAGAATGGAAGAAAAGAGTCTGTTCTTCTCTTCCTCCCTCCTGCTTTCCCCCTCTCTGTGGCCAGGGCCATGTGCTGGCCAGGGGAGAGCTTGCTGGCTCTATTTCTCCTCCCTGGCTGTGCTGTAACGAAGCAAGAGACCAGCCTGGCTCACCTGGGATGGATTGAGCCTTTTATTATGCTGGGCTGGAGGCTGGATTTACAGCCAACCCAGGGATGGTCTCTCTAGATCCAGCCCACGTCTATTTGGACTGATAAAATGTGGGGGGTGGCAATTCGTTAGGTGATTTCATACTCCTTTTAACAACTGAAAATGGATAAAGGAAAGGAATGCGTATGGGGGAGCAGCTTTACTCTCTGCATAAAGTCTTAATAGATGATCTTTCATAATGCACTGGCCTTATAAACTTCTCTCTGCTCTTGGCAAAGGCTCCTGAGGTAGCATGAGGCACGTGGGCTCATCGCAGTGATAAATAAAGGCAGCTGGTGGCAGTGGCTGGGACTCCCTGGGGGCTGCCAAGGTGGGTAAACCTCTCCCGTGGCACCAGGAGAGCTACTGCCATGCTCTGACATCACCTAAGCTATTGAAACCGCTGCACGTGCTGCTGCAAACACCAGCTCCTGGCACAGCAGAGCCACAGCAATGGGCGTCCCCAGGGAAGTGGGGTCTCCTGCATCCTTGGCACTGAGCAAGATCCCCAGTCTCATCCCAAGCTCTAACTTGATGCTGGATGCTGAGAAGAAGAACGATACAGAAATGCATCCTCAGGGGGTTTGCAAAGACCCCACGGATGGTAAGTGAGAACGCTGGGAAAGAATTGTAGCATCTTATTAGTAAAGGCCATCTAAGTCTCTAATTAAAATTTGCCTAATGACCTGGCTGCTTTGTCATTTTCACTATCAGAGACATTAATTTAAAGTGACAGGTACTTAGGCAAAGACAAAATCAATTTCTCCTTTAAAAAAAAATTAAAGGGCCAGAGCGTGGATTTGGCTGTGCCCTGGCCCGTTACCCCACAACAGGAGAAGCCTGATGTCCACGCTGCAGTGGGGCATGTCTTGGTGAAGATGGGAGAGGGAAGAATGGGACACATAGAGCAGATGTTTCTTACCCTTAATCCCTGCTGGAAAGGGACCCAGGCAATGGCATCATGATTCTATGGAGACAGAGGGCCCACTCTCCACTGGTGGCTCCGTGATGTTTGAGTGGGGTTGTTCCAGTGTTGCCAGCGAGTGATATGACCTGCAAAATGCACACAGACACCAGTGATCAAGTCTGGGTTTTCCTTGGGAGAGAAAAAAAAGATCCACAATACTTCCCCCAAAGCCTATTCCTATTCTCCACCTTTTCACTGCAAACAGGACATCTGATGTTCTTCAGCCGCAGCCCCCTGCCCTCAGCAGATGCCCTGCTCCACCCCCAGAGCTGCCCTGCTCATCTCCAACAAGTCCACTTTAAACACTCAAACCTGCCTCAGCAAATTCGTTTCCACTTCTCCAGGTCACCCAAAAGTGGAAGGAGCAAGATATCCAGAAAACAACATATTAGTCTCCCAGGAATCCCCATTTACGATCCACAAGCAGCTCCTGGGTGCTCCCTGGGGACATGAATCTGTCCCCACACATGTCCCCCCACACCGCCAGCCCACGCTCCCACCTGAGCAGCAAAAATCTCTGAAGATCTCATGTTCCAGCCCATGAGACGGTGATGCCAGCTGTTCCCTGGCCACCTCCTGCCTCTCACAGTGGCCACGCCAAGGCCAGTGTGCGCAGCCTGGGAAGTCACGGCTGCAGGATTCCTCCCCATCCCTCTCTCTTTGTTAAATCAGAGGCTGCGGTGGATTTAGTGTTCGGTGTCAGTAGTCCATACCTCATCATTCATGCCACATTGATTCTCAATTCCAGCCCTGTAGGTTATTTAATTGGGCAGATATCCCTTCAATTTTCTCCTCCAGCGATATTATTGATGGCTGAAGTCTATCCATTTCTTTGCACAGGGCTTCAAAAGGAGCCTGTTAACAATTATAACAATAGTCAAACACTTTGCTTTCGATTGTACTTCACAGCCCCAAATCTCAAACAATCCATTAAGTCCATCTTGGAGGTATTAATTGTCCCAAGTTCAGTTCAGAGAGAGCCTGTGTTGCCCTTTGGGCTGACATCATGACTCCTCCATTTCCCTCCACCATGTGCTTTTTGAGTTGTGAAGCAGCCTGAAGGACTGTGCCCCCGTGTAAATCTCCAGCAGGATCTCACAGCACGGTCCCACTGGGGTCAGCTGGTGGCCCTGGTACCCAGCTCGCATCAATCACACCCGCACTGCTGTGCCCAAGCAGGGACCTGGCCGTCAGGACAGACAGCAGGATGGGTCCTTGGCTAAATCAAATGCTTGCTTTTCAAGACCCTGTGAGCCTGCACTGACCGTAGGAATCCAGTAAATCCCCACTGCAGCACTGAGCCATGGGTGGAGGTGGTGAAGAGAAAGTGTCATGTCCCAGTTATGGCAGCAGAGATCCAGGATGGTCTGTCTGCCTCCTGTCCCCCCTCCCAGCTCCCTTCCTCACCAGTGTCTAGCTGGTGTTGTATGGGAATAAATTTTCCTGGGCATCCTGTAACCCCAGACTACAGTGATCCTCTGGGGTGGATCTGCTGTGCTGCGTGGGAAGGAGACCAAATCCCTCCTCCTTGGGCAGAAATGGAGTGAGGCTCTTGGAGAAGAGGGCCACCAGGAGAAACTTCTGCTACTGGAGCAACCCTGACACCCCCCAGCTCCCTCCAGAAGGACCCCAAAACCCAACCAGTGTTTTTTCTAGCCTGGGAGGTATGAAAGTGGGGAATCTCTCTTCTAGGCTGGTTATTTTGTGCATGGATAAAAGCTAGAATGGTTCCAGCTATAGCTGCACATGAGATGGTCACGCTAAAGATAATGGAGGTCTCTTTCCCCAGCGAGTTCCCCGAGCGGCTGAGGTCCCCTCCTGGCACCGGGAGCACCCAGATGCTTCCCAAGGGGCCTCCCTCTCCTGGAACAAGGAGCTCCACTGCACCAGTCCTTTGCTGTCTGGTGGAGGGGCTGAAGCTGCTGGGAGCAAACTGTGGCTAATCTCTTTGACTCCCATGTTTCACCTCTCCCACATCCAGTGTCGGACAGGGGACGAAACGTTTTATTTCAAGCTTTATCCTTTTTTCTTAATTTTTGATGGATGTAGTCTCAACCTTTATACTATCTGAAAATGAATATTTAACTATAGTATAAAAATTGAAATTACATGAATTAATTATATTTAAATATTATACTGAATATTTGATTTGTAGGGTGGAATAGCTGGTGCTGGAAGGGAACCTTTTGGCCGTGTCCATGCTGGGCAGACCCCAGCAAACGTGATCTGTAGGTGCGATTCCCTGACAGCCCCCACTTCATTCATGCTTTTCCTCCTCCTTTCTGCATTTTCACAGAGAGAGCTGGATAACAACACATCAGGGCTCCAGCACTGAGCTTTCACCCCGTAGCTCTCACACAGCCATCTCACAAGTCCCACCTCAACAACACGATGCCCCTGTGGCCACATCCAGCCTCAGCACCGTGACAGGGCTGGCTCTGTGGCAGAGAAACGCACACCTCGGCAAGCGGGGCTCCACCGAGAACACTCCTATTGCTGCCGCTAATTGCTCTGGGGCTGCCGGCCGGGCACCGTCTCGTTAATTACCCACAGGTCACAGCAGCGATTCTTCCCATATGAAAGCTGCACCAGTAATTTCATGTTTCAAATGAACTCCAGGAGCACCCTGCAAGTCATTCTTTGCAGGAGAATAAAGTGTAATATCTATAATTAAACGCAACAGGGATGGTCTAACAAGAACACGTCAAGGAGCTGAGCAGAGATGGCTGCTCTGTTCGGACACCTGGAGGGATTCCCTTTGCTGCCGGGGTTTCAGGGGTGAGTGAGGAGGTTTGCTGGTGCAGCGCCGAGATGGGAGTCACCACTGTGGTGGTGAAACAAGGTGGTGCTCCGGATAGTGCCAGCCTCAGGAGAGTGTCCTGATATATACACCTCCAAACCACACCACGCCACGAGGTTATCGGGTGCAGGGAGGGGACCGTGGTGGCTGGGGCCACTGCATCCCTCCTGCACACCAGCCCCATTCTTTGCTTCTCTGAACGCATCTGAGCCACCTGCACAAGGTGCTGGGTCCTGTTCCATCACCAGCCTCACGCTGTCCCTGCTGAGAGCTGCCCCGGGAGCTGAGGGTGGGGGCGGTGAGCCGGCAGAGCTCTGGGCTGGGGAGGAGGAGGATGGGGAAGCCCAGGCCTGCAGTAGCCTCAAGGTTACTTGAGATGGAGGTGTTTTTACAGGGAGCACAGCGTGAGAAGCTTGTACGCCATCTGCTCCTGACTGCCCTGCATCCGGCAAACCAGTACGCTGCTTTCTTCCTACATGCTAAAAATACTCCCCTAAAAAAAAATACCAAACCAAAAAACCGAACAAATAAAGAAAAAGAATGAAGATGGGGAAATGCGAGGAGTATAAACAAAGACTCCATGGAGACCAGAGGCTTCATGGTGCTCTTCCTGCTGCATCAGGCCCCTTCCCCCATTTTCTCCGTGTCTCTGTCTTACATTTTAGGGCAGAAACATGCTATTCCTGGTTTTCTGTAGCTCTGGAAGCGGGCACATGCATGCACACAAGAATGCACACACCCCCAACCCTGCGTACAGGCCATCTGCATTGTTAACACAGCTGAGAGAGTTGAGCCACCCCTCTTACTCCTCAGCAGCGAAGTCGAGGAGCAGGAGAAGGAGGCTGGTTGGAGGGGAGGGGATGCAGAGTTGGGGGCAGACAGACAGAGACCTCCAGGGAGGGATGGGTTCAGCTGCCTCTGGCAGTGGCTCTGCCCTGGGAGCTCTGGCAGCAAGATGCAGCTCCACTGCTGGAGCTGGCCTGTGGTCACCTCCATCCCTGCCTTCCCCGGGGTGCTCACCAACAAGCCATGTTCTTCCCAGAAGCAGGTCCCCAAAACTGGATGATTTTGCCTCAAGAGGGACCAAAATCCCCTTTTGGGACCGCACTGATGGCCATGGGGTTGGGCTGTAGGTTGGGACTCAGGCACTCAGGTCCTTGCCCAAGACAACCCAAGACAAGCTGCTTTCTCCCTCAGCCTCTGCTTCCTTTCCCACCCAGTGCTGATTTACAGCCTGAACTCTCCAAAGCAAAACCATCCTTCGGCAAGGCTGATGTGCAGCACAAAGCCGCAACACAGGGGCTCACTGCAGGCCACCACCTAGCTCCTGGCAAGCGGGTGCCCGCAGCTCGGCAGGCTGAGAAAATCCCATTTGCAGGAAGCACACAACAGCTTTACGTGATGGAAATCCTCCTTCCCCAGGCAGAGAGAGAGGAAAGGGAAAGAAAGATGAAAAAAAAAGCTCTTTCTGGGGAAATTAAATTGGACTTCAAATTTACAGGGTCTTCGTTTTGTTCTGGTGATAATGAATTAAGCTCTTGCTGGCAGTTATATTGCTGCAGAAATAAGTACCAGTTAAAAGCACTTTTGGAAACTATGACTTTCATTTTAAAACTGCCACAATTTACATTTAATCCATTTATTAATTCATTTATTTATGCAGCTCAGGTACAAACCTCACATCTCTCTTCTCCCAGAATTTACTGAAATGCTGTTTTTAAACCCAAACCAGTTTCCACACGGACCTGGCGGCCAGGGCCGGACACGTTTTGTTGTGAGCATTTTGCTGAGCATCATGCAGGGCCTTCCAGGAGCTCTGACTTGGAAGTGCTCAACCACACCTCCCTCCTTCCTGGGGTACAGCTGGCTCAGCAGTGACCAGAGGTGGGGAAGAAGCCACATCTACCCGGGCTCCTAACAGCGCTTTGGACCAGATGATCCAGAAAACTGGCTTTTGCCTTTGCATGGCAGGAGGAACATCCTGGGGACCCCGTATTAATATTTTGGCTCCCTCTCACTAAGGGTCTCTCCCTCTCACTAAGGGTCTCTCTGCTGACGTGGAGCAAGCCCGTGTGTCCATGGCCAGGGAGCACTTTGGGCTGAAGTTACCAGACAGGAGTTTCCAGTAACTGTAAAAACAGGCAATCAAAATCCTACTGCCCCTGAGGACACCCGTGTGCCCGCAGCCCCTAGGAGCACCCACGGGCAGTGCCCATGTTGCCACCCCACCAGTGAGGGTTTTTCCCCCCACCCAACCTTGTTCCTTGATGGCCTTGCAAGGACAGTGTTGAACTGGAGCCAAGACCTGGAGGTGACCAGTCCATTACCCTGATTAACTGAAGACACAGAAAATGCCATGGCTTGCAATAATTTTACCTCTGCCAGGTGCCACTGGCCCCAGCTTGCATGTGAATCCAGCCCGAGGCCCCCTTCCCACTTTCACTCCTTGCTTTCCACAGTCCCTTGCCCAGCTGTGCCGCTGATGTTTTGCTTCTTCCTGCATCCCAGCTCCTCCAAAAGCACCTCTGAGAAAGGTTTCTGCTCCGTAGCACATGTGCAGAGGGATTAGCAGGGTCAGGCTTTCAGAACTCAAACCCAACTCTTCTACCACCAACCTTCCCTTGGGCAGGCTCAGTAGAGTGACCTGAGCTGCAGCGGTGCCTCGCAAGGATTTGCTCCTGGCCTGGGAGCATGCATACAGGCTGCCACGTGTGCCCTGCAGCCTCACATCTCGCTAGACGGACCCTGAGAGCAGCAGTGAGATGGCAGCCTGGTGACGGTGCCCCTCAGAGGGAACACAGCCCCCTGCCAGCACCATGTATGTGCTCTGCACCACGCG